ATATATATAATATATATAGTTTGTGTGTGTGTATATATGTATGTATATATACAGAAGTGTGTGTTATTGAAATGTAAGGATCCAATCCGTCATTTTTATTGGTCATACAAAGCAATTATATTAGATAAAAAGGCAACATCTATGCATCTACTTCCTTAAATTCATCTCCTCCTCTTCCTGCTGCTGTTGCTCCTGTTGCTCCTGCTGCTCCTGCTGCTCCTGCTGCAGCAGTGGTAGCAGTAGATGGAACAAATGGTACTGATGCACCAGATTCAACGATACCTACTGCAACAAAAAACCTAGTCTAGATAGGCAGCAACAATATATATTCATTCGTTATGCCCTCTTTGCTGCAGCTACAGCAGCAGCAACAGCAACAGCAGCAACAGCAGCAGCAAGAGCTGCAGCAGAGGGTTTTTCTGTTACACTGCACTTGCTGCAGCAGCAGCCGTACTCTTAGAGATTTTTGCTGCAGCAGTATGACAACTCGCAGCGTCGCTGCTCCAGCAGCAGCAGCAGCAGCTGCTGCTGCTGCTGCTAGTAGACATCGCATGCAGCCCCAAAGGAGGCAACTAATAGTTACATGAGGATTATTTTCCTTTTGCGGTGTATCCTTACAAGAGCAACAACTCTAAATGCTGCATTAAATGCATGCATGCAGCTAGGAAAGTTGCTGCTGCTGCACTTTAATTCGGGTGTATAGGCAGGTAGCTATTTTAGAGCTTTTTTGTTAGGTAGATAGTTATAGGGTTATTTATATTATGTAAACCCTAATTAGGGTTTACCTTTTACTAAGACGACGCCAATAACTCAAACCCTAAACCCTCGAGGGTTTAGGGTTTACTATCTGGTGCTTAGTATGGTGCTAGGTATACCTACCAAAGAAATGCAACTAGCAGGTAAATACATCTAAATAAAGGGAGACAAAACCCTAAAAAGGAATAAAACCCTAATAAGAGAATAATAAAACCCTAATAATACAAACCCTAGAGGAAAGAGAGAGGAAACGAAGAATATAGAGGCGGGGAATTATTGAACAAAAGAGGGGACTGAGGGTTTATTATTAAAATGTTGGTTTACCTAGCAGCAGTATAACATCTGCTGTTATTGCATATACTGCAGGAGCAGCAGCAGCAGCAACAACAGCAGCAATTGATTGTTGCTGTTATATACTAACTACTATTCCTGCAGTAATAGACAGCAGCAACTGCAGCAGGTTCCTGTTTTTCTTCTTCTTGTTCTTCTTCTCTCTCTTTTTCTTCTCCTTCTTTTTATTCTTTTTCTTGTTGTATTTGTTATTGAGGACGATATTAGGATGGTTTTGCCTCATATAAATAAATATGAATAATAATAACTAATATATATAAATAAATAAATAAATAAATATATATATATGTATATGTATATATAAATAAATATAAATATATATAGATAATTATAATTCTTTACATGCAACGATTTTTTCTTTATCACATGCAGCAAGAACAGAGACAAGAATACCTTTACCATCAGCAAATAGAGATTTAATTTGTTGTGCAACTTCATCAAGATTTCCTTCACTATCTTTAGGTAGAGTTAAGTCACTTTTTAGATCCCCATTATCAAGAAGAAGAGATACAAATCCATCATCACTTACATCTATTAATTGATACTCTGTTCTTTTTACATTAGGTACCTCCATATTATGAGAAGTTGGACATATATCCTCATATTTCTTTCCTGTAAATATATCTAGACCAACAATATGTGCCTTTGCATGCCCATGTTTACCCGTCTTAGATGTTGAATAATCTACTACTTTACATGGATTCCCTTTTAGCATACAAAATCCATTCTTCTTTATTGAACCCGCTTGCATTGGATACGTCAAAGACGCACCAGCGTCTGCTGTCTCAAATGTTACATCTTCAGCGTCAGACATCTTCAATTCTATACAAACCTAAACCCTATAAACCCTATAAACCCTATAAACCCTATAAACCCTAAACCCTAAATATTTTATATATATGTATGTATCTATACATATATATACATATATATCCTCAGGAATTTATTATCCTAAGGAATCTATTACTCTATTCCATCAATACGCAAATCTACACCCACACAAAACAAACAAAGACAGTAGACACTAACAGCAACAACCACACATGATGCTACTTCTTCATCCCCTCCTCATATGAATGCTCCCGCTCCGCCCGCTGCTGCTGCTGCTGCTGCTGCTGCTGCTGCTGCTGCTGCACAGGGCTGCTGCTGCCGCACGGATGCATTCATGATCACCCATATATCTAAAATTAATCCTTTTTATATTTAATTTATTCCTTTTTATTTTATTTTATTATTATTTTATTTTTTACATTTATTTATATTCATTTATTTTTATTTATTATCATTATCATGTACATTTATACTCACATCTCCCCAACAGCACACCCATACACCGTGTTGTGGGGAACAACAACGCAGCAAGCAGCAGCCACACACGATCCCACGACGCTGCATACCCAACTCCTCCTCCTCCTCCTGCCACTCCTTAACATGCAGCAGCAGCAACTGCAACAGCCCCAAAGCACCATGTAGCACCCTGTGGGGCAACTTATATACACCCATCCAAACAACCAATCACCTACTTATCCTTCTTGACGCTGCCGCTGCTGCTGCTATGGCTACTGCTGCTGCTGCTCCTACCGCTGCTGTTGTTGCTCTGTACCTTCCTTATATTGTATGAGGTACAATTCCTTTTTTCTATCTTTTTTCTTATCGCATTTTTAAATTTATTATTTCTTTTATATATTTTATTCATTTTTTTTTGTCTTGCATATTTCTTTCCTTACTTTTATTGTACTTTTATAGTGACGTTTCTAATAACTTATAACGCCTTGTTTAGTACCAGCTTGCTGCTGCTGTTTTCATTTCTTTTTTATTATTCTTAATGCCCAGCTACTTCCTCATTGGCTTACATATTGGTACTTCTTCCTCTTAAGGATCTTTCTCCTTCTTTTCCCCTATAAGATACATATCCATAGAGCACGACACTATATACTCTACAGACGTAGCAGCTGCAGCAGCTGCAGCAGCTGCAGAACTTCTTAGCGTCATACCACCCTATCTGTAGCAGCAGCAGCAGCAACAGCAGAAACACTAGTTGCACAGGGTAGGAAGGCGCTGCTTTGGTGGGTCTTCTGCCCACCATGGCGGCGGATAAGTCTCTTCTTCAGTTGGAGGAAATAATTGATGATGACAATGCTGATATTGCCGCTGCTGCACGCGTCTGCTGCAACACATCCACTGATAGCGGAAACAGCAACAGCAGCAGCAGTAGCAAGAGTAATGACCCTCCAGCTCGTCTAACGGAGGCAGAAGCACGATCTGCAGCAATTGCAGCAGCAGCAAAGGCTGATGCTCTATCAGAGCGTTGTCGCTCTCTGTTGCCATTGCTAAAGTCTGCAGTAGAGGGCAGCAGCTGCAACAACAAGAGCAGCAGCAAAGACACCTGCAACAAAGATAAAGCTAATGGGGGTCTCCTAGATTTTGAATCAGACGACGAAGGACCAGTGGTTGAGTTGGGTAAGTAATACTGCATGCAGCAAAGAATTCTCGACACCTCCACCTGCTGTTGCTGCTGCAGCTGCTGCAGACCCTGATTCTGCTGCATTTTGTTGCTGTTTATTGCTGCATGCAGATGTGGGTATGGGGTTGTTTGACGTTAAAGGAGAAGTACCTAGTGACGCACGTTTAGCGGAGATGGGGATTGAGGTATTTGATTTGCCTGAAGACTCTCCTCTTAATGCAGTAGGTCTTCTTTTTCAACAGCAGCAGCAGATATAATTCATGATGCTGATCTTGTTGTTGCTGCTATTGTTGCTTCTGTTGTTGCTGCTGCTCCCTGTTCGTTACGTGTTGTACGGCGCAAATGAATGAGACTGATTGTATAATTTTTTATTGTTGCTATTGCTGCATTTTCTCTTGTTCGTGCTATTGCTGCTGCTGTTGCTGCAGAAGCCGAATCACATGGATGCCGTGCAGCGCGCACTCGCAGAGCGGCTGCAGTCTAGCTTCAACAATAACGGCAGCGATCCACTGATCAGTGTTCTGTCCAGTGGGAGCAGCAGTAGCAGCGAGGATGAGGGGGAGGACAGTGACGAGGAGAAGAAAGGCGAATAAACCCTCCTTAAAGACTCCCTCCCTATGTAGATAGTCAATCCCCCTAAAATGAATGCAGTTAATAATACAGGGAAAGGTAGTAAAACAAATAGATTTTTTAAGACTGCCTTACCCGTCTCTCTTTCATTCATTCCTTATGACTATATCTTTCTGTCCGTTTGTCTTTCTGTCATGGGAGGGTTTCCTCTCTCCCCATTGCAAAGCAGGAGAAATCGAGGAAATAAAAGATTCTTCTTTTCTTCTTTTTAGACTTTTTGCTTTCCTTCGGGCAGCGCATGCGCATTATCTGAGGACAGGCCTTTTTAAGTTGATGCGCGTATAAATATATTGGGGTTTATTTCTTTTTATATATGCGCCTTAATGGGGTGTAGGGTCTATTTCGGTTATGGTTATATCGCATAGTTGCCGTATTCTTGTAACAACAAGTATAAAGGGGAAAAAAGGATTGGTAAGAAAGGGTATTATCATATGGAGGCTTTACAACAAACGCGAGTTTTGTTTTTGCAACAGCAACTGCCCATATGCAGAGGCAATGCAAAAGAAAGCTTCTGTCATATAACACATTTAAAAATACATACATTTATACTGCCCTTTAGGTTGATTATCTAGATAGGCAGATAGGCAGACATCATACACAAACGTACTACAGCAGATGTCGTTGGTTGCCCTTGGATTGAGAGCACTTATTAAAGACATTATTTATGTCTTCTGTACACTTAAGAGAAGAAGAGGATGTTGAAGGTAAGGCAGGAATTATTACTTCGGTACGGGGTTCAGCCATTGTCCTCCTTGACCGTAAGCGGCAGCGACGATCTGTGCAGCTGCGTAGAGAATCCATATAGAATAGCAGCAAGAAGATCATGTTACAATCATAATCATGGTAATAATATGAACTAGAAAAGGAAGGGAAATAATATATGAAAGTGCATATATATTTGCGAAAGGATTCAATACTTACTCTTTTTCTGCTTCCGGACCATATACGTCATATGCCACACCTTGTAGCCACCGTAGAATACAAGACCCATGCCTAAAGGGTTCGCCCACCACCAACGGCGGTATTCAGAGCTGAGACGCAACAAAAGGAGAAAAGAAATCAGAAGAGCGAAATAAAAAAAAGAATCCAGAATAATGGCTTCCTGTGCATGAACTTGAAAGGAAAATCGGGCATGGTTAAGTCATAAGCTTCTGCACAAGGAAATATGAAAGGCAGAAGAAAATGCCAAATATATAAATATACATAAAAAGAAAAAAGAAAAGGAATGTGGTGGCTAGAAGTCAACAGAATTTGACTACAAAGGACAGAAATATAGAAAAGAAGCAAGAAGAAAGCTGAATGACATAAGGGAAGCAAACACGAAATACAGAATGAAAGAAGTGATGGAAACTTTTGCGTTGGAATGCGTATTCTATCTGGGGTGTACAGACAGCTGAGAGTTGATGCTTGTACAGAATGCAAGAATGATGGATCATTTCATTATTTTGTGGATATTTGATCTCACACTCTTCCAATTTGAGCGAATTGTTTATTTGTCCATTGCATCATTTGATCTGCAACATCGGATAATTGCTTTCCCTCCATCTTATGCCATTGTTGCTTCCATCTTAGAGGATTAATGGCACGTCCTGCCATAGCAATATAACTTTGAATATGAAACCCCATTTTGTTGAACAAGTAAAGAGATGATGATACGATTAATTAATTACAACTCCTCTTCTACTTTTTTAATTGTGTTACATTAAAGAAAAATGTCATTAATAAGAAGACATAAAAGGAATATTAACCCTTCTTCATTCATATGCTCCCCTTTTAACCTCCCCCCTAACCATAGGGAGAAGAAACCCGTCTTCTGCTGCCTCCTTAAACCAGCAGCAGATCGACAGGAGGAGTTACACACTTCTAAAGAAATAAATTCTTCTTTATTTTAACGAATTAGAGAAATTCTTCTCTAAAAGAATGCTTTACAAAGCCCCAAACTACTACGGGAGGGCGCATGCAAACAACCTCTTCTGGTGAGCCACCGCCGACTTTGATAGGCAATTAGCTGTGCCCCTCTTTGATACCTTTAGGTTAAACAAGAAAAGATTATGAAGTTATAATTTTATAATTTGTTTTAATTATTTATTATCAATATGCTAAAGGCATGCAACGGTGATAGATAAGTTTTTCTCTGTTCTACAGTTGTAAAAGCAGTCCATAGTAGACGCAAGAAGAGGTCTTATAAGCATCAAATAAGACAATCCAAATGTAAATAAGTGAATGGTCTCCGTTGTCCATAGTTGGTGTACGGTATCCTATCTTTAACGGTCTAATCTAATATATATATATATA